CTGTGCTGATTTAAATCTCGTCTCTCCTCCGTCCGTCTCGTTTTCCGGCAGAGTCGCTCACTTCATCCCCGACATTTTGCCCGTCGTGTCCAGCGACCAGCGGAAGATCCGGCAGGTGGTCACCAACAGCAGACTCATACTGGGAGTACTGGCCAAGGTACGCAGTCCGGCCTGACGGTGGCGCCGTCGTGTCGCCGCCACTGAAACCGAACACGCTGATACAGAAGTTTGTCTGTTTGGATTTTGATCATCTGGCAGCTGTGTTTGTGTCGTCTTCTGTTTGTGCTCATTGTGTGGCGTCCTTGTGTCTGTTTGTGGTGATTTTTTGTGTATTTGTGGTCGTTTTGTGTCGTTTTTGGCTCCGTGTGTCTGTTTGTGGACATTTTATTGGTTGCTTTGCATGTTGCAGCACCTGAGCTACGGGGTTTGTGCAGAACAGCATTTTGTTTTTGTTTCGTTTTTCATTCACGACGACGTTTTCGAATGAGACTCAACGTGATCTGACTTGTCGTCGTCAGTGTGGCAGCGTCCGAGTGGACTCGGTGGAGGACTTCGCCTACGGGTCAGAGATCCTGGTGAACCCGATGGACAGGGTGAGTCTGATCCAGCAGAACCAGAAGAGTTTGATCTCGTTTAACAACCTGCTCAACCTCAACACGCTAATCATGGATTTATATATGAAAGAAAAATGTTTTAAAGGAAAGAAAACATTCGAATTCAAAGCAAAAGAATTTAAAAAAAATAAAAATTCTTTGAAGATAAGACAAAGAAACCAAGTTTAAACCAGAAATGACAGAAAAGCAAATGAAAAAGCAGCTCAATACTCTTTACTGGACTGTTGCTGCAACTCTAAACGTTGATTTTGATGCATTTCTACTGTAATTATTCACGTGAACATACTGATTTGCACACTGCTGCATTAGAGTCCGTGCACCAAGTCTTCCCTCGAGAGGAACATACTTTACAATAACTACATTAGTCATGGACGTATGTGTTGAGCTTACATTTGGCCAAAAGCAACAATAAAAACAAGCAGGAAGCAGAAGCTCTCTGTGAAGGGTTAGCCTAACCCTTAGCGTTAGTGGGTCTAAACCTGGATTCTACTGGAGGTTCGCAGTAAACAGTGAAAACCTGCGACTGTTTGCAGATGTGCAGCCGGGCGGCGCTGCAGGGCGACGCCGTGGCCCGCAGAGCCGAGAGGCTGCTGGGAGACGTGGCCTACAGCCTGCTGTGGTTCAACTGCGAGCACTACGTCATGTACTGCAGATACGGAACCGTCACCAGCTTCCAGACCTTCCAGGTGAGAGACGGTGACGGCACCGGTCAGGAGGCACTGAGGGGAAAGTTCCTGGTTGTTATCGGGAAGTCGAGAACACGAACGTAAAGACGCTGAAATGTTTGTTGATGTTTAAGATGTGAAGGCAGGTGATGCTGAAGGTTAGAAAAACTGACACAAACAGAACACAACGGGATCCAAAATGGCCTCAAAGAGACTCAGCATGATGCCAAATCAGCACAAAACAACTACAAAGATGCACAAAGTGACCAAAAAAACAGCCACGTGGTGGTTTTTTGACTCTTTTTGGGAATTCTCTGTGTGTTTGTCATGATTTTGTGTCTCTTTGTGGTGAATGTGTGTCTGTTTGTAGACATGAATGATGCAAAATGACGAAAACGAGACACTTTACATCTACGGTGGGATTCAAAATGACCACAGATGACATTAAAGGAGGTCAAATAGATACAGAACCACACAAAACGATTCCAGATAAATGCAAAATACCCACAAAAAAACACACAAGATGACCACAAATGACACAAAATGAGGTCAGACAGATAGAAAACAACAACAAATCTACACAAAACGACACAAAAAAACTACCACAGAGGGATGCAAAATGACCACCGATGACGCTAAAGCTGAGTTCACTCTGTGCATCCAGGAGAAGTCACGACGCCTCAACAACTAGAGGCTTTGCAAAACCAGAGTTCATGTCAGAGCTGTTTTATTTGACTTTACTGATGTTTTAATGCAACGTTTGTGCTTAAATCTCGTCTGTTGCAGCTTTAAATATGTGATAGGAGTTAAAAACTAGTGATGTTATCTCTTGTGTAAATGTAAAGACGTAGAAAGTCCAGCTTCACCCTCTGAGGTGTCCTGAAGCACCAGAGCGAATGGACCCGGTTGGTTTGCGGACCAGAACGTTGCAGGTTTCAGTGGAAGCAGTGAGTAGAAGGTGTTGAAACTCTAATCAGCTGCTAAATCACATAACCGACGTTTCAGCAACGTGACGCAGCGAATAAAGACTTTTATACGAGCCAGCCCAGATACCGTTAAACCTGCAAACCCGCGACCCGGAGGAACCAGTAAACGCTGAATGTTCAGCACAGCCCGACCTTCAGCCGTTGATTCGTTGCTGCAGATTATTTGTGCTCGTCTGTATTTGGGTTAATCTTCTCTGTTGCAGCAACGGGCTCAAGGCTCCATTGTTCCTGCTCCGATGTAGAAACACAGATTGAGAGAGTGGAGCTGTGGAGGAATTAAAAACAAGATGACTGAACTGATTCTGATTGAACTGCTGCACAAGTCACACATGTTGCTCTAAATACACTGAAAAGAAGCAAAGTTTGGCATCAAAAACACCGTCTGCTCGCTGATAACGTGACAAAATGATCACAGAGGATGCAACAATGACCAGAAACACACAAAAAACAATTGCAATGGGATGCAAAATGACCACAGAGCGGCACAAAAACGCTATACAGGAATGCAAAATGACCAAAAGGCCTCACAAAACTACTAGACAGGGATGCGAAATGATCACACATGATGGGAAATGACCACAGAAAAGCACAAAAACTCTCCAAAGTAATGCAAAAATGAACAAAAAGAGACAAAAAACTACTAGACAGGGATGCAAAATAACCACGAATGAGACAAAATGACCACTAAGAGACTCAAAACTACTAGAAGTTGATCATAATGACGCAACAATAACCACAAACACACGCAAAACAAGTACAATAGGATGCAAAATGACCACAGAGCAGCACAAAAACTCTAAATAGTAACGCAAAATGTCCAAAAGGCCTCAAAAAACTACTAGAAAGGGATCCAAAATGATCATAAAGCACAAAATAACCAAACAACACATAAAACTAAAACAAATCGATGCAAAATGAGCACAAATAAGCACAGAAAGACAAAAAACGACTATGATGGGATGCAAAATCCCCACAAAAAGGCCACAACCACAACAAAAGCATGAAAGAAATGACCACAAATGGCACAAAATGACCCAAAAGAGGCACAAAACAGCTGCAATGGAACACAAAAATGATGACAAGGGGACACAAAATGACCATAAAGGCACAGAAAACAACTGAAATGGGATTCAAAATGGTGAAAAATTGCCACAAAACAGTACAAAACCTACACAAAAGGATGCAAAATGACCATAAATGACATATTAAGATTACAAAGAGGCACAAAACAATGACCATGGGATGCAACATGACCACACAGATACACAAATAAACTACTAAGGGATGCAAAATGACCACAAAATGCCCCAAAACAGCTACAACTGAATGCAAAATCATCACAAAGGGGCACAAAATGACCACAGCGGGACAGAAATCGACTAAAATGTGACGCAAAACGATTACAAATGATTCTAAATGGCAAAAAACAGACTCAAAACCACTACAAAAGGGATGCAAAACGACCAGAAATGGCCCAAAATGCCCCCAAAGAGACACAAAACAACTACGATGGAATGACAAGGGGACGCAAAATGACCATAAATGCACAGAAAACAACTGCAATGGGATGCAAAATGGTGCAAATGACCAGAAAACCTGCACAAAGGGATGCAGAATGAGCAGAAGTGATGCAAGAGGAGTTTTCATCCACTTCTTCTTCTTCTTCTTCTGCAGTTCTGTAAGACGGTGAGGAAGCTGCTGCTGAGTCGGCGTGTTGCCAAGGCGATGGCGTTGCTGGCGGCGTGCCTGCTGCTGTACCTGCGAGCGGCGAGCGGCGGCGTCGTCCTGCTGGCCGCTCTGCTGCCGTTCCTTGTCTGGATGGCTTCCTGAACACCAGAGTCCCGTTTTGATGGTTCCTGTTTGCTCGGTTCTTTGTGAAGTCTCAGAATGGATCAAATAAATCAACCGTCTCCAGTCTGTCTGTGCATTTACGTGTAAATCTAGAAGAAAATAATAATAATAAAAAACTATTTAATTTGATGCATTTTCATTTTATTAATTCTTTTAATTTCATATTTTATTTTTCCCATTTTATTTAAAAAAAATTACAGTTAATTTAGTTTTCTTCTTTTTTTTTCCATTTATGGTATTTTTTGAACTTATATTTATTTTAATGTTTTTACTTAATTTTTTTTGTTTTTTAAAAAAAATTAATCAAATTCTTATTACATAGTTTTTGTTTTATTAGTTTCACTGTAATTACTTTTTAAACTCATTCTCATTTTGTGTACATTTGATTTATTTTAGTTTTTTTTTTAAATATCATGATTATTTTATTTAATTTTTAATTTTTTAAAAGTATTTCTTTACATGTATTTTTTAACTAAATTTAATTCAGTCTCTTTTCATTTTATTTTAATAAATTAAATTTGTTGTATTTTTTATTTTTATTATATTGGTTTATTTGTTTTTTGTTGTTGTTAATTATTTTTTGTATATTTTGTGTTTTTGTAATACATTTCAATTTTTAAAATTTTTTTTAGGGAGCATTGCACTTATTTTATCGTGCGTTTTATTGATTTGGAATTCATCTTGTTTTATTTTATGCTTAGGAGAGATTCACAGTTGTTTTGAGTTTGATATTATACATTTTTAAATACTTTTTTATTGATAGTGAGTTTTATTTTTTACAAAGGAACATTGCATTTTTTCTCTGCTCAGTTGAATAATTTGTAATAATTTTTAAAAAATGATCTTGGCTTATTTTAAGATTAAGATGAACCTTCGACTTTTTTTTCGAGGCTATTTTATTATTCTCTTATTTTTAATTTTTAATTCAGTCATTGAATTGAATTTATTCTTTATTTATTACATTTAGTGCTTTGTTTTTATAACACCTAATTTTATTTTATTCTATTTTATTTTTACTAGAGAAGCGGGAGTTTTCCTCGTTCATTTAAATAATCTGTAAAACGATTTTCTTTCTTTCTTTCAAATTTTGTGTTTTTGTGAAGAAAGGTATACTGATGCGTATTGTCCCGCCTTCTGGACTCTAACTGAGCGCGTTGATTGGCTAAAACGGGGCTAACTTCACGTCACTCATAAATCCCGGCTAGCTGATTGGAGGAGCTGTTATCGGGTTTAGACTCCGTCGTTTCCCGGGGAAGTTTGTCCGTGAACCGTCGGTTTGTCGGTGTTCGTTGGTGTTTGAGGAGAAACGGCGTCGCCGGGAGGGGAAATGGCTCTGGACCGGAGCGGTGAGAGTTGGTTAGAGGCAGCTGGGTTGAAATTCAACGAGCTAACTGTCGTCTGGAAGAAGTTTTCCGGGGAAGTTACCGTTAGAAAGTCGCTAGCGTACCGGCTAGCTAACCTAGCTTACGTAGCTAACCTAACCTCGGCTGCTTCGGCATCTTCTAAAAAAAAAAAAAAAAAAATTAAGCTTAAAACCGAAATAAATTTAGCTAGAAAACTACTTTCTTATTGTTGCCGGTTAATTGCTCTCATTAGTGCTGATATTTGCTGTTAGAAACTATTGGAAGGTGATAAAAATGGTTTCTGGTGGCTAAATAGCACGCTAGCTTAAGCTAATGCAGCTAAAGAGGTAATACATGCAAAGTGGAAGAAATAAAACTGTTATAGACGCTCAAAGAACTAAAATCACACGTGAAGGGCTGAAATAAAAGTCAAGTATGAAATAAAAGTACGGGGATGTGGAATAAGACAGATTTAACAGGACAATAAAGGGTCATAAATTAAATTTATTTGAAGTCAGCAGCTGACAGGAGAGACTTTAATGTGTTACAAACCAACAGAAGGGTTTTAAAAACAAGTGTGAATCTATAAGAGCTGTACTGAGGTGGTATAATGTCAGAAAATACATCAAAACCTGCTCAGATCTGTTTCAAACCGAGGACACTGAAGCTGAGTTTATAATCAATAGATAAATCAATGAACTTCCTTTGATTGATCACTTCCAATACAGCAGCGGTTTGTGTTGTAAAGTTCTCTATGTGACAGGATTATCCATCTATAAATGTCCTGATTCACATCAGGGATGGATAAAGGCAGCTTCTGATTCTTGTTTTGTTGATATATTTACCGTATAATTTATCCTAATCTGTCAGGTCATCGATCAAAGTCAATTAAAAGCAAGAAACGACAGTAAAAGTTGAGTTGTTTGATTTTAACGGACTGAATGCAGTTAAATGTGAGGTGCTTTAGGTTCTCTAGTGTGTAACTCAAACAGATTTAATCCCTGCTTTGTGTTTTCAGTCTTGAATTAAAGACGTTTGTACGTTAAATTCACGAATGTATTGGCGTACCAGTTACTTCAGAAACTCTGTCAGAGCAACAAATCGCTGTAAAAGTTTAGTTTTTTGACTTGAGTTTGGCATTAATGTGCTGAATTACTTTCCCATTTGATGAGATGTCAGAGAGTCAGATTGCATTGTACCTCTGTGAGCACGCAGCAGTCTTGATTCACATCATTTTAATGGATTTAATATGTTCTGTTGTGCGTCTTGTCGTCACTGTTCAGATTCAAATGCGACTTTAGGATGAAAAACAATCATTCCTGATTAAATCGATCAGCCGGAGCCAGAACTCTGACGTTCAGTGGTCTGAGTTAGTTCACGTCTGATCCAAACACCACCATGAGGTTGCATTTCGTGTGACGGCGCTGGAAGCAGACGAGTGACTGCGATGTGTTTGTTGGACAGACTTGGACCGGGAGTCCGACGGAGACGTGGACGGAGGCCCGGCCGACGTCCGTCCTCTGGGGATGGACGACTTCAGGACCTCCTGTCCCAAAGAGATGGCTCTGCTGGCCCTGATGGACCGGACCGGGTACAACATGGTGCAGGAGAACGGACAGAGGAAGTACGGAGGCCCGCCGCCAGGTACGCAGCGCACCTGGATGGGTCCGTAGACCAGAGATAGATTATAGATGGATGGCTAAAAACAATCTATTAAGAAAGAAGAAGATGCAAAAATTGTTTGAGTTTATGATGTAAAAATAGTAATAAAAAGTCTGATGTAAAAATAGAACTGATGATAGTTTTAAGGTGGAATGTTTCATCATCACGTCAACGTCCTGCTCAGTTTTTCATTGTAATTTGATTTCATGTGCACTCCTGCAGTTTCCTTTCATTTTTCTGGTGAACATTTAGTTTTTAATCAAAGATTTCAGGTGAACTATTTCCTCATCGTGTCTGATATTATCCGTGACGTCTGTGTTAGTCGCCGGCGTTGCTCTTTCCTGTTCGGTTTCAACATCACGTCGTCGTCGCGTTTTTGTCTTTATGCTTTTTCTGAGCAACGTCTTGCACCAAGAAGTTTTATTATATCTTGAAACAGCCGGACAGCTCTCACAGTGACTCTATTTTACTTCTAATTGACGTCAGAGTGTAACAAGCTGCTCTAGACCGACCTGGTTCTGGTTCTGTGGCTCCAGGTTGGGAAGGCCCGGCTCCTCCTCGGGGCTGCGAGATCTTCGTGGGGAAGATCCCCAGAGACATGTACGAAGACGAGCTGGTTCCTCTGTTCGAGAGAGCCGGCAGGATCTACGAGTTCAGGCTGATGATGGAGTTCAGCGGGGAGAACCGCGGCTACGCCTTCATCACGTACACCAACAGGTGGCGCTAGAGCGCAAATTTAGCGGCTTGGAAAGAATAAATTAACTGTGTGACTGACAGTAAATGTCGTTTTCCTCAAATTACAGCAAAAGAATTTAACTAAAGCTTCAGTTTACTTCCTAAAAATGTCAAAAATCAACTCCAGAAAGTCTCATTTGGTGGATTTGTTTATTTAAAATACTGTAATTATCAGTTTAATGACAAGAAACCTTTAAATTATTACATTAGTTTGAACTGAGTGTGATAAACATGTCAAACATCAACTTTAAAACCACTCAGCAGGTGGGTTTGTTCATTTTTAAACACAATAATTATCAGTTTAAATGAGAGAACAGCTTTAAATTCATACACTAGCATCACATGAGTGGGATAAACACGTTAAAAAATCTACTTAAAGTCTCAGCAGGTGGGTTTTTAAAACTAAAAATACTGTAATTATCAGTTTAAATGTCAGAACACCTTTAAACCGGAGCAGTTTAATGACTGATTCCAGGATGTGAATGTTCAGATTAAAGTCTCTGCTCAGTCAGAGTGATGGTCGGTGGTTAACCTGGTGTGTGTGTGTGTGGTGCTGGGTTCCGGTCCAGGGAGGCGGCCCATCGAGCCATCCAGACGCTGGACAACCACGAGGTGCGACCGGGGAAGTTCATCGGCGTGTGCGTCAGCCTGGACAACTGCCGCCTCTTCATCGGCTCCATCCCCAAAGACAAGAAGAAGGACGAGATCATGGAGGAGATGATGAAGGTGACGGATACAAACACACAAACACACACACACACACACACACATATACAGACATATATATATCTATATCTATATCTATACATATCTATATCTATCTAATTCAGTGAAGCTGCTTTGAATGAAACCGTCCCTAAAGGCAACAATCCAGTATGAATGTTCTGATTTGTTGTCAAAAACGAACCTGCAGACATAAACAATAAACAAGAAAACAGCACAAAGAACCATGAACAACTGTAAACCTGACGCACTGCAGTGGCTTCATATGTAATCAGATTACACTTAATGATCCAAACAACAGCTTCAAAGTCTATTTACAGTCTATAATGTGCACTGAGGTTCTTTATTTTTTAAAATTAATGATCAAAATTAGCTTTTTTTTCACGTCTTATTTCTCTGCTTTCAGGTTTCTGTTTAATTTCTGGCGTCATTTTACCGACTTTAGCTTCAAGTGTTTGTCTTAAAAGTGACGAAAACAGAAAGATTTTTAAAAGTTTCTTCCGCTCTGAACTTGTTTGATGGAAACTCTCACGTTGTCGCTTTAAACCTGTGAAACGATGATGAATAATTCAGATTAATCGATAAGTAGGACGCTGGGAGTGAAAAGAATGAATGAAGACGGACAATAGTGACGCCGTTTGTTCTCTTCAGCAGGAGGCGAAATGAAAAGCTCGTTTATTTAGATATAAACGAGCTGCTTACTCACATAATGGCTCTGTAGAAGTCTGCAGTGCTGATTAAAGTGACTTTAACGGGTAAATATGAGCACGTTTTATGTGTTGCTGCAACTTCTCGTCTTTTGTTGTATGAAATAACTTTAGATTTGACTGTTTTTGGGGGAAAATGTGTCTGAAAAAGACAAGTTAAAGTTAAACTAGCTGGAGCTGCAGCTGTCAACGAATCAAATGAGTGATTTTGTTTTGTTAAGTTCACACATTTCTGAATGAACTGGTCACTGGAGGATCACCAGAAGCTCAGTCGGAGCGACAAACAGCTGCTAAAGTTTAATTTGATTGTTTTTATGTTTGGGTTTTGGTGATGTTTGGTCACATATCACGTTTTAAAAGCCTGTTTAATACATTAAATAGATGTAAATGGTTATTTTTTAGAATAAGTCTTGACATTTTGAGCTGAATCAGATCCACGTGTGATCAGATATCAGGACGACACTTTAAGAGTTTTAATACATCTGCAGTGGGTTGAATACGGAGAAATTACATCCAGTTCCTCGTCTTTTTTATATAAAATAGCTCAAAACAAATGAACTGAGGATGTTTCTACAAACATGAAAACATTCTGAAGGTGAGTTTAGTGATTATTTGTTAAATTCATTCCTCCAGAAGCAGCAAACAGCAGCTGAAGTCTTTTATCTCTTCTTGTGTTGAATTAGTTTCACATCTCGTCCGCCGTCACATTGAGCTGAGTCTTTATATGACGGACTGAACGGATGTAAATGTGCTTTTAATAAGTATGGAAGCCGGCGTGGACGCTAACGGGCCTCTGATGTGACAGTTTGTCAGCCGGCGGCGCTCGTTTGTGTCCCGTGTGGCGGCGGCGGCGTTGTGATCGTTTAATAATGACGACGCTGTCAGCTTTCATTCAGCACAACCTGACGGGATGCAAACGAGCCTCACAGCGGCTCAGGCTGTCGCCGTCCAGCCGGCTGTACGCCTCAGACGCTGGAGCTGCTGTGGGTGGTGTGTCGTGTGTCCACTGGTTTATTTTGCTCATCTTTGGTTTTGTGTGTCTGTGATCGAACTGTTTCTGGTCTTTTTGTGCGTCTCCACATCTGTTCAGAGTCCATTTGTGTGTCTTTGTGCTGGTTTTGTTTCACGTCTCTTTTAACCCATTTGAATGTCTTTCTGGTCATTTTGTGTCTTTGCAGTCATTTTGCGTCTAATTTTTTAAAGTTGGTTTGGTGTTGTGGTGTTTTGTGTGTCTAAGAAGTGATGTTTAAGTCCGTTTGTGCTGATTTATCGCTTGTTTTTGTTAATTTTGCTCATCTTTGGTTTTGTGTGTCTGTGATCGAACTGTTTCTGGTCTTTTTGTGCGTCTCCACATCTGTTCAGAGTCCATTTGTGTGTCTTTGTGCTGGTTTTGTTTCACGTCTCTTTTTGCCCATTTGAATCTCTTTCTGGTCATTTTGTGTCTAATTTTTTAAAGTTGGTTTGGTGTTGTGGTGTTTTGTGTGTCTAAGAAGTGATGTTTTAGTCCGTTTGTGCTGGTTTATCGCTTGTTTTTGTTAATTTTGCTCATCTTTGTTGTTGTTCTGTCTCTCTGCCATCAATTTAGTGTCTGTTTCTGATCTTTTGTCTCTTTGTTGCTGTTTTGTGGCTCTTGCTGTTTGTTCTCAGTAAACTTGCGTCGCTTTGCAGACTCTATTTGTCACATTTCTGGCCTTAAACACACATTTGCTGTCACCGGGCTCAGCTCACCTGTACGTACCTGTGTGCGTGTGTCCAGGTGACAGACGGCGTGGTGGACGTGATCGTGTATCCGAGCTCCACCGACAAGAACCAAAACCGAGGCTTCGCCTTCGTCGAGTACGAGTCCCACAAAGCTGCAGCCATGGCCCGGAGGAGGCTCATACCAGGTAACGTCTCATGCAGCAAGTAGATGTTTCTGTTTTTGATTTGGTCCCACGCCTGTTTCCTCGCTGCTCTGTCTGAAACACCGCCTGCAGTTCAGCCGAACGCTCCGCTGAGTCGGTTTGGAGACTCATTAGTGCCGAGGAGCTCGCGGGTTTGTGTTTCTCACAGAACCTGTAAGTACATTTGATGACATATCACAACTTTAAAGCTCCAGTTTGGTTGTTTTTCCAGAGCGAGCTTCACGCCAGACAGTAAAAATACGACGGTTCGTTCTGTTTTTATGGTCTCTGGCTGATAAATGTGATTTTCCATTAAAATGACGTTTTTATCACGATGCATGTCTTGGTAGAAGAACGCTCCTAAAATGGAGAAACATCATATTTATTACAGCGTGTTTCAGTGCAAAACAGAAAATAAAATACAGCAAGCTACTAAAGCAGCAGCCTTTAGCTTTGATCTAAAACATAAACATGTCCAGAGCACTGAAAACATCTGGAAACATTCACGTCTGGAGGATTTTCTTTAAAGAAATCAATGAAGGAGGAACGTTTGGAAGGTCGACCTACTCATATTAAATATAAACTGTCGACTGTGGTTGCACTGAGCATAACTTCATTTGTTCATTTGAATGTCGGAGTTAAACTGCAGATTGTGTGAGTGTCCAGCAGAGGGCGGCACAGCCCTGAACACTGCTGCCTCTGATCAAAGTGTGAGCAGCTGTTTTCTAACCTGACACGTTTAGAGGAGCCGCTCAGGGACGTTCACTAGTTCATGTCCCAGGACGACCTGCTGACTCGTACACGGGGACAAACTGGTGCTTCAGAAACCTGATGCCTACAAATCAACATCTCCTCCTGACTCCTGTAGAGCAGCGTCACACGCTGACTTCCTGTTTGATTGATTTAGTTTTTAAACGTTCTGGCTCAAAGCTGAGGATCGACTCTAGAACCTGCAGAGTTCAGCGGGACGGCTGATGTTTAGGACGCGTTGTGTTTTAGTTCTGGTGTGTTCGGCTGGAAAATCAGGAAAAAACGTCATTTGCTAAATGTGCAAAATCTATAAATCTCACTTTCAAATGTACGAAATCTGTAAAATCTCCCTTTTCAATGTACTAAATTTGTAAACTCTGTAAACATCTGCGAGCTACAAGCTTTTTCACGTTTGTATTCAGCAGTGTTCTAGTTTTAATGCACCACATGAGCTTTATCACCTATTCATTGTTCTGTTAGCTGCTGTGTTTTATGTTTGCACGTTTCCTCCTGTAGCTGTTTAAACGCTGTCTAGTTGTGTTACCGCGCTGACAGACACACACGACACTCCAGCTTCACCGTCTCTGTTCTGTCTTGTGTGTTTTGTTGTCGTCCTCCTGAGCTCGTAGCCGATTAAAACCCTCTGGAACCCCCTGACAGGATCCTTCCAGCTGTGGGGTCAGTCCATCCAGGTCGACTGGGCCGAGCCCGAGAAGGACGTGGACGAGGAGGTGATGCAGCGCGTCCGAGTGCTTTACGTGAGTTCAGACGGGCTGCCGGAGGCGACGTGTGGTGCCTTCAGAGCAGGTCTGGGCGGTTACACATCAGCTGATCAGGAGCAGGAGGGAAAGGCTTTGATGGTTTTACTGTTCGGTTGCACAAAGAACCGTCAAGATGAAATGAAGATCACATGCTAAACACTCGGACCAATCAGAGCGACTAGAGGACGCTGGACACCTGCATGTGTGGAGCTTTTCTTCAACATGTCAGAGGTGGAGGAACAGAGTGCCTCGTCACTTTCTTTATTCTGTGTTTACTCACTGTCGACTCATTTAACCGGCAGCTCTGTGAAAACAGAACGACCATGAAGAAAGAGACGCAGTGAGAATCACAGTTCATTAAAAAAGAAACGTTTCTCTGACTTTTTATTTTACAAAACTTGTCCAGAAATCCTCAAAATGGGTCTAAAATTATTCAAGTTTTGTCCAAAATGATTTGAAACTCGTCCAAAGCTACTAAAAATCCAACTTTGCAGGATCGACTGAAAAACTCACTGACATTAGACCAATGATCCTTCTGTCTGTTTTTACAGTTTCTGACTCATAAATAAATAATTTTCTAGATTTTTCTTTTAAAAGATTCGACGACTTTCAAACCAGCCGTCGGGTTTCAGAATATTTAGTGTCTCTGTGTGGTTGTTTTGTGTCTCTTTGTGGTTGTTTTGTGTATCTTTGTGTTTTTTTTCTGTCTGTTTGTGTTCATTTTGTGTCTCTTTGTGGTTGTTTGGATGGAATTTAGGAATTAAAAAATGTGTATCTGAACAATTTCTATGTATTTTTCCTTCATAAATTTCAGATTTTAGCGTCTGTTTCAGCTGGAAAGTGTGATGTTGAACCCAAAGTCAGAACAAACCAGATTAAATGTGTTTGTTCCTTCAGAAATTAGCAGTCGTTAAAAATAGATTGTAAGAAGGTGTTTAATTTGTGCGCCTCGGTAAACGTTTATCGATCACAAACGAGGAAATGTGGATGCAGGAGGATTTCAGAGGCACTTAGTTCTAAACAGAGCTGCTGCTGCTGCGTTGAAGTCTTTCAATCCCAAAAACCCTCCTGAACCCCGGAGGAACAACCGTGTAAATCCTTTAATACGGGACGACTCGGAGTCAGGAGGTCGCCTCGTGTCCTTTTCCTGCAGTTCCAGGTCGGAGTTTCAGTCGGGCTGCTGGAGCGCTGCCTGGCTCAGATCAAAGGTGACGGAGCAGCAGGAAGCTGTTGGGCCTCCAGGGCATCAATTACTGCTGAGGCTGAGACCTTAAAAGCTCCGCGTTGGCTGTGAGGGACCATGTTCAGCCTCCTCCTCCGACTTCTGCTGCTCCTCCTGCACAGACTGGCCTCCATTTCTCCTCAGTCGCATCGCATTTAGAGTCTGACGGGAGCCGGAGCGACGGAGTCCAGAGAGGACAAGTCGTGAAATCCTGTTAGCTCTCAGAGGACGGGGGGTTGATTAGCGCAGCGAAGCACGTTCCACGGCTGCTGTCAGATGTTCACTTCATTAGGAGTCCGTGTTCTCCCCGAGTGCAGGCCGGCGCTCGTCTGCTCAATCAGAGCCGCACAAGTGTTTTCTGAGGATCCAGAGGCTCGGATCAGCTCAGCTTCAGTTTGCCTGATTGCTCTGGGTTTTTGTTTGTGTAGCTCCTTCTTACTCTGAACTCCAATACGTCCTCATGCTCGTCTGTCACAGCGAGACTTACTGTCAGATAGACTTCACGTTCAGTCGTACACCAGCGTCCTGCGCTACAGAGCACGATCTGAGGCTATCAGCACAATGTCAGGTTTACCTTATGCTCTTAGTTTTTACAACCCTAAAACAGAACCGAAAACACTCACGCCTCAGTGTTGACTTCATAAGATTTGGTTTGTGGCTCTTTGTGGTTATTCAGTGTGTCTTTGTTGTTACTTAGTGTCTGTTTTGTGTGTCTTTGTGGTTAATTCGTGTCTGTTTTGCGTCTCTGTGGTCATTTTTGTGTTCTTCACATCCGTTACCCACCAGCCTGGAGTCCAGGACAAATAAAGCCGATGCCAGGATGTTGTTTCTTCCTGAGCTGCCAGATATAAAAGCATTTTCAGATGTTTATGCCTGTTTTCTCCTCCTTCAGGTTCGTAACCTGATGCTGGACACGACGGAGGAAACCCTGCGCCAGGAGTTCTCCTTCTTCAAGCCGGGCGCCGTGGAGCGGGTCAAGAAGCTGACCGACTACGCCTTCGTCCACTACCGTTGCCGCAGCGACGCCCTCACCGCGCTCAGCCTCATGAACGGCGCCCAGATCGACGGCGCCATTGTGGAGGTGATGCTGGCCAAGCCGGTCGGCGCCAAGGACGGGGGCGTGGCCGGGAGGAGGTGCGGCGGCAGGAGGCAGCTGGGGGGAGCGGCGACGGGAGGAAACGGGATGCTCCTGCTGGACGGAGGCTCGCTGATGAGGCCCGTCGGACCGTCGCCCCGCCTGGGAAGCCCGTTCTACCCGGCAGCAGGTCAGTCAGTCAGACACATAATGGACAAAATAAGACAATATTTAGTAAAAGTTTTAACGTGACTGTAAATAACGTCCTCGTCAAAAATGTGTATTTTTATAAAACACAATTAGTTGTTTTAAATGTGTGACAGCTGTTAGTTGTTATTAGTAATCAAGGAGATTGATTAGCCAGGCTGCTTCGTTATTAATAATTATTAGAACCGAACAGAAACGCTGACGTCAGAGGGTCATGTGACGTTCACTGATCGATCGATTGCGATCAATAAGGGTTTCTCTCTCTACACATCTTCTGTTTTCTGTCACTTTTACGACCCACGTAGGTCCAGAACTTAAAGCTTTGTTAGTTACTGTTGTCCAGATGCTGATTCAGGGTCATTTCTAGCTGCTAGCTGTTAGCTGCTAGCTAGCGTTGGCTGATTTGTGGAGATGTTCTTGTCCAGTGTTTGCAGGTTGTTTCTCTGTTGGAGAGACGAATCTGTTGGTTCGAAGAGATTATTCAGTTCATGTGAATTTAAAAAGACGAAGTTACGATGCTACAGATGGCGTTAGCGGCAGGCTAACAGGCACAGCTAGTGTGTCAGTGGTAGCATTAGCCTCACGTAAAATAAGTTCCAGCAGCACTGACGCCAGCAGGTGAACTGTTTAGAGCTTGTTTATGTTGGATTGTGGTGTCAGTAACATGTGCGACCTCACGTAGTGAAATCAAGTTAGAAAACGATGAGTATTGTCGTTAATAATGAGTCGATCCTGACTGTTTAGTGACTAACGGCTGGAGAATAAACAACATGAGTTCATGCTGGGAGGCATCAGTAGCAGCAGCACTTTCACAAATAATACACATTTGTAAACACTTTGTAGGTCTACTCACGTGGTTTTTCTCCGTGAGGCTCAACAACAACAACAACAACCACCGTGTGTCTGATGTGATCAAAACACCGATTTTTATTCTGCTCTGTGGAAACTTTCCCTCGTTTATTGGCTTTAAAGCACGGTGTGACTCCGAGGACGGTCTCCGCCGGCGAGTTGTTCAATATTAATGACCAGCCATCATTTTCATGTGCGTCTGAGCGATTATTTCCGTTTCAGATTTGACCGCCTGGAGCCTCGCTGCTGCACATTTCATGCAGAAATATCGGCTCATTTTCCACCTAATAACCGAATCGCCCGTCGTCCCGATGAACATCTCGATTAGTGTGATTGTCAGGCGTGTGTCAGCGTGACAGACGGAGGAAAGTACCAAGAACAGAACGGGTCGCTGAGCCTTTAATACAGAGTTACTGAATTGTTGTAGTAGTTTTAAGTCTCTTTGTGGTATATTTGCATCTCTTTGTGGTATTTTTTTGCATCTTTGTGGTATTGTGGCGTCTCTTTGTGGTTGTCTTTGCGTCTCTTTGCAGCCACTTAACATCTAGTCATGTTTGTGTGCGTCTTACAGGTGGTTTGTCTCAGTTTCTGGTCTTCTTGTGGTTTTTTTTTGGCTCCTAAGGGACTGATATCCCAGGTGGCTGCTGGTGTCCTATCTCGGTAACCGATAGTCCGTCTGGTTCTGCCTGTTCTGACCCGACACACCTGCAGCCTCCAGGCGACGTGTCCCTGAGCCGCCGTAACCTTTTATTTGTGAAGTAATCTGTGTGACTCGGATGGGAAAGGTTCTCCGGAGCCAAGCAAATCAATAAAAGGTCCCTCGGAGGAGCCAGAATCGAGCTCTGCTGGACCATCTAATGAACCTCCTCCTGCCTCCTGCTGCTGTTCATTCACTGGGAGGATTTCTTTATTTTTTTTTTTTGAGCAGGTTTCGTGTCGTCCATTACTAACCGCACTCATCAAGCCCTCTCCCGTTGCATCGATGCGGCCGAGACAATTATCTGGCGACGAGGCAAAAACTACCAATTTCCCCCGACGCCTGCAGACATTTTGAGAAAATGAGAAAAGTTTGAGAGTTAACTCTCCCACAAATGGGCTGTGAAATATTTATGAGAAGATGATGACGGCGAGACAAAGACGTGGATGTGGAGAGATGAAGCGGTGATGAGGGAGAAGCTCCTGGGAAGACGGTTCGCTTTGGAAAAACACATCTGGGTTGTGACTCGTCTGCAGTTTGTGTCCGATTCCTCGGGACTAGAACAGAGATTTTCTCTCCTGAAGCTTTTCCAAGATGGTGCGACTCCGACAACAAGCCTCTGCTGTCGTTGAATTAGCGTTATTTAGGGATTCGTTCAGCCAAAGAGGACTGGAACCGGCGACTCTTTCACGTTATCATTAACATTAAACCAAGTCATTGTTCAGTTTGAGCTACATTCAGCCACACTGGTTGATCCGTTTGTGTTTGTTTCTGCCTTTGTCGCCGTTTTGTCTCCATTTGTGTTGCTTTTCTGTTCGTTCGTGGTTATTCGTCAGTCTGTGTGTCTGTGGGTTCATTTGACTCGTGTTTTTGTTCGTTTTTGCATCACTTTTAGTCATTTTTGTGTGTGTTTGTCGCCGTTTTGTTGCTCTTGAAAGTAAATTCATGTGTCTGCCTGGTGGTTTTGAGTCTGTTTGTGTTCATTCTGCACCAGTTTTTAGTCGGTTTAAATCTTTTTCTGGTTAGTTTGTGTGCCTTTGCAGTAATTTTGAGACTCTGTTTTGTAAATTAGGGTATTTTAGCGATAATTTTGCATCAGTTTTAATCTCTTTCTGGTCCTTTTCTCTGTCTTTGTGGCCCTTTCATGTGTTTGTGTTCATTTTGCATGTTTTTCTGGTTGTTTTTTGTCCCTTTGCAGCCATTTTACGTTTCTCAATCTTTTTCAGTGTGTACAAGGTGATTTTTATCTCTGTTTGTTTTACATGTGTTTGCCTTTGATTTGGCGTGTCTGATCGATTTGTGTCTCTTTCTGGTCTTGTTGTGTGCCGTCGCAGTGCTTTTGCGTTCCTCTTTTGTTTTTAATTCAGACGATAAAAGAGACGGCAGCCAGTCGTAAAACCGACGGAACCGGTTTGGCGGTGACGGACGGATGCAAAGCGACACGACAACTGGAAAAACTAATTAGTTCCGTACGTGAAACCAAAGCGGCGTTCATTTGCATTTATCACAAACAAGCTGGAGATTGTTGAGACAGATGTAGGTGCTGATGAGTATCGGAACAATTAGCATAACTGGATGCGTTCCATTGATCCCGTCGGCTAACGTCGGCGATGCTTCTGAAGGGTCTTTGATGCTGCGGTGCTTCCTGAGCTTATTTATGGATTTTTTTTATTTATTTTTTTTTTTTTACTGTTCTGTAGTTGAAGGACCTCTGCTGATAGAAAGCAATTAGACTTATTACTGGGTGGAGATGTGGAGGCCGATAAAGGGAGACTTGGGGAGACGTGACGGAGCCGAGCTGACTCAGTCACATTTCACCATCGCTGCTGTAATGAAGAGATAACCGGCCCGGCCCGTCCTCCCGCCGCCGCCGCAGCTCCGTTTCAATCACGAGTTTGAGTTCTGAGCCGTTTTTGATTTAGTTCAGAGCGCTGGAAAGTATTAGACAGTTTCAGTTTGGCAGGAAACACTCGGTGTAAGACGAGTTCTGCTGGTGTTTGTGAGAACAAATAAAGCAAACTTTGAAGTTAAAGAAATGCAACTGAAGTAAACTGAAGTTTGTGTGCCGTTATCAACAACAGAACCGTGTCGTATTTAATGAGGAGGACTTTTCTAAACCAGGCAGAAAATGATTCATCTGTTGAATCACCTTTACTGAGCTGTCAGCGGACTGTGAAGGACGACTGAGCGCTAACGCTAACCCTCGCCGTGTTTGTCCCACCAGAACAGCCGGACAGATGTGTGTTCCCCCTGCTGCCCGGGACCCCCCTGTCGCCCACCAACCTGCTGTCGCTGAAGCAGAGTCAGATCGGCTCGGCCGTCAGCCTGCTGGAGTTTCACTGCCGCAAACACTACTGGTCCCCGCCCGACTACCACCTGTACACCACGCCGGGGCCGGACGGGCAGCAGCTGCTCATCTACAAGGTCTGGACGCGTTGTGGTCCGCTGCTCGTTTGTAACGCAACAGCACAACCAGAGACTGTTTCACCTCAGTTACCACTTTGTTTTAGAGACACAAAACTATCACTGAGGGACACAAAACCAACACAAAAGAGACACAACAACCACGAATAGAAACAAACCAACAACAAAGAGACACACAGAAAACATCCACATGATGCAAAATGTCCAAAAAGCAACACTGGACATTTCTGTACCGTCTCTCTGTGCAGCTCACTGCAGCCACACAAACACAAACACAGCAGACGCCACACGAGTAAACACACACGTCCCTGTTTGTTTGTTGAATCCCTACAAACACCAGCAGCCATCACAAACAGTTTGAGGACCGCGAGGCAGGAGGCCAAAGGTGTCTGTCGCTGTGTGTCTGTTTGTGTAGGTGGTGATGCCGTCCACACGGAGCACCTACATCCCCGACAAGCTGTGTGCGCTGCTGGAGGATGCCAAGGAGCTGGCCGCCCAGACCGCCCTGTGGAGCCTGGGTACTGTTCAGCATTCACACAACACACCCAGGCCCAGATCCAGCTTAGATGTGCAGTCAGACCTCGGCTGCACGTGTAAACACGCCGTCATGTAAACCCACAGGCGGCTTCGTCAGACCAGGCGCCGTCAGGGTCCTCATGACGTCCAACCATGCAGAGGTTTAACACACTCGTGCATAATTTCACATTTGAAATCTGAAGGCAAAGTGGAATATGTTGCTCATGAGGTTCCCAAGTTTGGATGCCTCAACAAATTTTCTCCACCTGGTACGAATCCACTTATTTGCTCTTGGTTTGTCATTGGTCTGTCTTATTTATGACATCAAAGAGACGCAACACGACCACAAAGAGACAGAAAACGACCACAAAGAGACAGAAAATGATGTTAAAGAGATGCAAAGCGACCACAAAGAGACAGAAAACAGCAGAAAAGAGTCAGGAAATGACCAGGCAGCTGTAAAGCTCTGACTGGTGGTGAATCCTGGAGTCTGTTGGAGGTCTGAGGAGTGGCCGCCGTCATTCTCCACATCTCAGCAGCTTTTAATGGGTTTATTATTTAGAGGTATTGTCACTATGCAGACCTTTGCAGTGGTGTTTGTGATCGTGTGTTCAGGACGTTTGTGTGAAAGACGGTGAACTGAGCTTCCTGAGTGAAGCTCTGTCCTGCACTCAAAGCCTCCCCTGATCCGACCCGAGCGTCTCGATGGGCGACTCTCTGCTGTAATGAGCCTTAATGTGCTTCAGTGCGCTGCTCGCCGTGCACAGGGTCCAGCCTGTTGTCACGCTGATGGCAGTTTGGCGCTCCTGGAAGCGTTCGTTATTATCTGAGCCCTCCTGTCAGCGGGTAGAGCTGCAGCTTCCTGGTGAACGATGAAGACCTGCTGTCCTGGGTTATCAAAGATAAGCAGGTGGTCGGTGAAGCGTTGCACAGCTGGAGGCAGCGGAGTCCTGCAGGCTGTGGTTCTCCTGCTGTAAGGAGAAGCCTGGTCCAAGCCAGGAGCTGAGCCCCTCCACAGAACCAGACCGGTTATTCAGCTTCAGCTTCAATCTCTTTGTCTTGTCCTTTTCCGTCCAGTGTTTGCTGCCTCTCTGAGGAAACACTGGCTGCAGTTCAACCTGAAACATTCTTGACTGTTGGTTCTTGCTGAGTCGGACTCTTTAAGCTTGTACTACTTCATCTTCCCATTACAGCTGCAGTTCTTTTAGTTTCTGGCTGATGAATGGTGTTATTTAGGCACATTTTCTTAAAGATAGGAAGCTCTCTTTTGGGGTTGAGAGGGTTAAATCCAACCAGACGATCGTTTCAGCGCAGCTTTAGAAATAATCTCTGAGCAAACAGACATACCTGAAAACAATTACCGCTGCTGCACTGAGTAGCTGTGGCAGTGAACGCTTCCCCTCCCCAGAGGAAAGAAGAAATGTGGCCTTCCTGTTTCTGTTGCTGCAGCAGACGTGTAACCAAACATACATCAGACGTTATCGCCGAGCCGTGGCACAGACGGCAGGATTCACTGGAACTGCTGCTGCGTCATAAATCAAGACTCCTCTCAGCTTTAATCACATTTCTTATGAGGCGATAACAATCTGAAGCACAGAAACGAGGACGACACACCATCAGTTCACTGCCTCTGTTAGTATTCACAGGACACAGAGCTGGACCTGATTGAGCGGCCTGCAGCCACAGCAGCATTATCACTGCTTCATGATTCATTCACATTCACATTATTGTCTCCACTTCGTCTACTGTCTTCAGGTGGCATTTTGCAGATAAAGGAGACTGAACCCGGCTGGGCAGCGCAGACTATAACTCTCTCTTTGTGGTCGTATTCAAACGAGCTGCTGATTTGCTCAGAGTTCGGGACCCTGAAGGGGCCACAGTTAATTTAAATACTGTTGCATGTGAGAGCGAAGGAAGCGAGTGTTTGTGGAAAAGCAGAAGCGACGGAGAGCGTTTGGCTGCCGTGCGATGCTGTGTAGCGCAGCAGCTGTCGGAGCCTGAATGCGAGCCACCTGGAGCTTCCCTCCGAGTTAATCGCTGCTCCGCCGGTGCCAGCGACTCTCAAAGGGCTGCACCAACAACATGTTGTCCCTTTGAGGAGTCCCGCTCACAGGGACACGCTCGCCACGAGCGTTGTGACAGATTCCTGGCAGAAAAACGTTGATGTCGCGAACAAGCCGACGGCGGCGTGCGGTCCATAAAATCTTTAATCTGCACCGTGAGAGCGCCAGGAGCTGCTTTGTCAGATGTGGCGTTTGTAGGAGCTGGCAGAGAGCAGGAAGCTGCCCGAGATTTAATGCTCTTCAAATATGTGAATATCAGTTTGTACACTCTTTCCTGAAAGGTGTTTCGCTCTGTTCTTCACACTTGAAGCGCCGCCGTGGCGTGGAGGACGAAAAACAAGCTCGAGGGAAGTTCAGAACCGGCTTTTGACAGAATACACTTGAAACGGGCTGAATCCAATCCCTCTGCTTTGTCTTCCATGCCACGCTCGTGTTTTTCTCCCCTGGAAACGTGTTGTCGTCCATATTTGGAGGGAATTTAAGCACACTGCTGTAAAATGACCCCATTCTCCTGTTGGGAAAGTTTCCCTCCAATCCTGTTAACCGACCGTCAGCTGTTGTTTCAGGAGCTGCCATCAGAGACATTTGTGTTTGTTTACTTGTCTGCAGGGCGACAGCGCTGGATTAAAGGGATAATAAATGCTTCTGCTGCATTAAAAAGCAGCAGTTAATCTACAGCTTTCAAAAGAACAGAATAATTGGTTTCCTTTGTAGAAAAATGCTTAGTTTTATTCCTTAAAGTGCCTGTAAGTTCTACATAAAGTTTGTACAGACAGTAGTTTAATGCACATACAGTGTTTTTTGAGGACCTCCATCTTAATCCGATGAGGATACAAAAGTTGACGTGACACTTGACAGAAAGCCAGATGTTTTTTTCTCAGCTATTTAACCAGCGATAGCATCAGACTGGAGTTACTGAGGTGTGAGGAAAACTGATGAAGCAGCGTGTCAGACAAATCTTCTTTGTACAGTGTCTGCCACCACCGTGCTTCATCATCACGATGCTGCCACCGCCGTGCTTCATCATGATGCTGCCACCACCGTGCTTCACGTCACGACGCTGCCACCACCAGACCGTGCTTTTTGCTCACATACATGTGTTATTCAGCCTGTGTGCAGCGATGAAACATGCTGTTCATATTACACCATAATGAGTTATTCTGAAGCTGACGCGTCTCAAATCTGCTGAAAACAAGCTTGCAGCAGCTGATCGCAGCTCTTTTGACAGCAGCCACGTTGGGAAATGGAAGCTTGGAAGCTTTGTAGCTTCCACCAGAGTGACTGTGTTGTTGGGACTCCTTCATCCTGCAACACAAACCACAACCGCTCTGGTAGAAAATCCTCAGTCTGCCTGCTTTAACACAGCTGCTGCGTCCCTCGGCTCGCCGTCCTGAAGTCGATCCCTCTGAAAATACAGTGGAGCTCGAGGTTTTTACTGAATGCGTCTCTTGTGGACCTTAAGTGCAGCATTAGTTCAGACTTCATGCCGTTAGAAGTGGGACATGAAGAAGTCTTGACACGGTATGAAAAGCCCAGAGAGGGAATCAGAAAATGGGTCATTTCAGAGCACGGGGAGGCTGAAATGTGATTCAGAATTTATTTAATTGATCTGCAGGAAGCAGGTTTGCATCCCTCTGGTCTGAAGCGCCGGCCAGCTGCCAAGCCAACGCAATTAAAGTGTTTTTTTTTTTTGAGTGTTATTTTAAAGAGGAAGGCTTGAAGCGCCCCGGCTGCTGAAGTCCACCCTGTGGTGGACGCTTTTAATCAAACTCTCTTACACCTCATCCATTTTTTATCATGCTGGCTGCTCCGCGGGGAGCTGAATATGTCTGCTCGTCAGAGCTCAGCCCTTAAAACGTGTGTTCATCCTCCTCACGCACATCGTCCTCTTTACTCGTCTGTATGTCTTCGTCTCCTTTATCTCCACGTGACTGGTTGTGGTTTCGTTTTAGCCAACCTGTTTATGCGAGGCAGATGAGGACACATCTGAGCCGAGGTTTAGCGAAAGCAAACAGAAAATATACGTTTTTGTATTATCGCTCAGTCGCACATCAAACGGATATATTTTAGCAACACCAAACCTTAATGAAGTCGGAGCAGTAACTGCTGATCATAGTCACATCCAGCGCTGGTCGTTGTGGGTGAAGTTGTTCTGATTCTGGACAAACTAAAAGCTTCTTCAGCCTCCGGCAGCTTCTCTGAGTTGTTGTTCTTCTTTCCTTTCCTGCAGCTGTAAGTTGTTCAGCAGAGTTTGTGAGATTTTCTGGCTTCACTCGCTGCAAGTTCGTCCTGGAAAAGTCTGCTGATGTGTTTGTAGCGGCAGGATGGAGGCAGCTGTGGGCTTGTGTGAGACTGGTCAACAGTTCTTCTGTCTTTTACCCGTCCATCCACACGACAACTTTTGAACATGATCAGAGACTTGAATCAGCTCAGAAACCTCCGAGGAGCTCAGGAGTCAGGAGTCAGCTGTCAGTGGAGGCCATTCTTCCTCCTTAATTGAATCTGTGGTGTCGTCCCTGTGCAGAGCTGCAACCAGCAGCACAATATTCAGAGCTCGTCTTGGATTGGACACGCTTCAGTCCGTTACCTCTAAGAACAGCTGATCAGAGAGACAACGAAGCAGCACGAGCAGAAAGCTAATCGACGATTCGCATTGGAGTCGGTTCCTCACGTTCAACAGTCCCACGGTCAATGTCTGACATCATTTTATCATTTACTGTCTTCTTTTTCTTTTTTTGTTTAGTTTATCTGCTTGAAAAACAACAGAAGTAATACGTCTTTCT